GCAGCGGCAGCGGCAGCGGCAGCAACAGCAGCAGCAGCGGCGGCGGCGGCAGCAGCAGCAGCAGCAGGAGGCGGAGGAGGAGGAGGAGGAGTAGGAGGAGGAGGAGTAGTAGTAGTAGTAGTAGTCGTAGTCGTCGTAGTAATCGCAGCAGCAGTACTATGCAGAAAAGCACTACTGTAATAACAATAGCAACACTGCTAAGCTCGGCACCGAGCGCTGAAACCCGAGGTCTTCGTCCAGTTCTTCGGGCTTGAGTAGCAGCTCCTCTTGGCACAAGGAGGCCGAGGACCTCGGTGAGGAGACCTCGTGCACTGGCTTTGCCGCGATCCGTGCTGATCAACCAGATGCTTCCCAGTGAGTTTAAGGGTCTAGGGTTTTGGGGGTTCAGTTCAGCAGGATGCCTTTCGTGAGGCCTAACAGTTTGATGGGAGTGCTGAGTGCAACAGCCGTCCACAGGAGAAAGCTAACTCAAGACTTTGCCAGCCCTCGCCCCAGATACCTTTGTTTCGCAAGCTTCTGAAGACAGGTTTCCAAGAACTAGCGGGGAAAAGCACTGCCTCCCTTGACTGCATTGCCGGATCGTGCTTCTCTACTTGGAGGTTCCCGGGTAGTTATAAGTGGGGTTATAAGTCCCCGAATATGGGTTATAACTATAGTTAGCCTACTTATAACTCCACTTATAACTACCCTAAACCCTAAACCCTACAGAACCCTCAACGGAACCTTATAACCCCACTTGTAACTGCCCATGAACCTCCAAGTAGAATGAGGCTCATGGGAGAGGCCAGAGCCTGAGACCACCTGGTCTGTTTTCCACCTGAGGGAAAGGATTGAAAATCCTGCTGAGGGTTTTAGAGCTTAAGTTTTAAGGCTTACCGCAGTTTATGAAGAGAGGATTGTTCCTGTTCGGCTGGTGAAGCATTTTTGACTTTTATGGCGGGTTCGGTATCTCTTTTAAGGAAGATACCTCTACTTCGCGATCGTTGGCAAATACTTATTGACCAGCAACGAGTGTCGGAGTGAGTGGGCAGAAGCAGCTACAGCTCAAGGCGATAGTACATGTTTGCAGAAGCTATAGAGATGAACTGTGATAAGAATTAATACCATGGTGAGTTGTGGAGGTTTTGATGAGTTGGTTAATTGCTCAGCATCTCGGGTACGCTGGCTCTCTCTGGACTGTTGCCTGCAAGGTTGGGAGATACAGATCGGCTGGAAGCAACAATCATCCTTGAGAGCTGTCGCTCTTTCATACACTCTGAGCTCTTAAACCCTAAAACTTGTCGAGTTCCATGTGTGCAAGACGCAAAAAGGAGTTCAACAACAAAAAAGCCTAAAGCATGGCTCTTTTCCTTCCAGATTGAAGCTCCGAAGCCTTGGAGGTGCGTGACAAGGATCTGGGGCAGATCTCCGCTCTCGAAGCCGCGCTTGGCCACGGCAGCGATGCCAACCATGTCGTGGAAGCCTCAGATTGACCAGGGCTTCTGCGGCTTCTCTTCTGCGACGGCATGTCTCGGGGTCAGCCCAGCTGGCGCAGATGGGATTCGGGCAGTATGCCACTGCACGTCATCAGACAGTGGATGGACATTCAGACGTTGTTCCTCGGACTTCGCCGTGAGGTTGAGGGTTCCAGCAGCTCCGTCTCGGGATGTGGCAGCTCGAACGACAGCGCAAGTCCCGGCCAGATGGTGCATGCTTCAGGCACCGCTGTATCTGCCGTTGGGCCTCAGGGGCAGCTCCCAGGTGGCATCGTTCCAGCTACCAATACTATTTTTGGGGGTTCCTTATTATAAGTCTAGTATAATGGGCCCCAAAGCCCTATTCTTATTATTAAGGCCCCTGTAGTGCGCGACATGAGCAGAGGGTCGAAGGGTTGCTAAAGGGCACTTCCTCGTTTCGCATCTTGTCGGCTCCCAGCTCCCACCTTGTGCTGTGGGAACCTTAGTTGGGTGGGTGATGCTTTTCTGAGCACTCCCGCTCCGATGCCTGGCGCCTCGTCATGCAAGAAGCATCTCAGATCTAATCTGTCGAGGGAGATAGTGATAGTGATGTTCGGGTCTGGTGCGAATTTGTCGCTGTGCGAAGGAACTTCTGGCCTGACCGGTTCTTTGAAGCCTCGAAAGCTAAACTCCGAGAGTTCTCAGCTCAGGTGCGTCTGCGTTGTCTGCTCACATCTCAGGCGCCCGGCTCGCAATGACTTGTTTTTGATTGTTAACTCAGCACCTTTGCTAGGGGATCGGTTCGGGTTCGGTGGCATCACCGGCGTCAGGGATCTTCCAACTTTCAGCCGACGTTACCAAAGAAGCCCTGGGAGGATGAGACGCTCCCCGTGCGGCAGTGCCTTTGCATTGGCGGTCGTCACAGGCCTGGATTTTTGCACCTTGCACTGTGAAGGCTCACGGAATTTACGGTACCGCTCCTTTCAGATGCAAACTTGCTCCCTATTGACATAAGACCACGTTGTGAGGGCCTTCAAGTCAGCCTGCAAGGTCTTCTGCATCTCGAAGCGGCTGCATACACCCCGCTTGTTTCACCAGGGTGGGCATCTCAGGCAGTGCAACCTGTTCCCTGCAGCTCTGAAATCCTGACAAGGACCGGAGTACCACATTATCTTGGAGTGCCAGCGCCCGGAGCCGAGCACAAAACACTCTGAGCCTGGAAAGAGCCATGTTATAATCTGAGGGGGAAGCTGCTGCGAAAGCACCAGCCACCTCGTGTCCTGGTGCCATGCTTAGACGACGTCGGTGGCTGCAAAGCCTCAGTGGTGTCGTGCTTCCGGACGCAACCAGCTTGGGCTGTGCTTAGGATCACCGACAGAAACACGCAGTTGCCATCGATGGCCATGCGAACCTAGTGGACGTGGGCAGGCCCGACAAAACGTCCCTCCGGGTCCGTCTCTGCGTTATTCGGCGTTGCATATCAGTACTGTAATCTGGCGGCAGGAGTTTCAACCTCGGTCGGCCAGAATCATTGGCCGCACAGGAGCCAGTGAAGTCCTCAGGGCAGCTCGCGGTTTCGGCTCTCTCCCACTGCGCTCCTCGCTCCGTTTACCTACTTACTCTTTCATTTCCTGCCTCAGGAAGCCGAAGCGGCTGCAGCAGAAGCTCCCGCGGAAGAAGCTCCTGCGGAAGAAGCTCCCGCTGAAGAGGGCGCAGAAGCCGCTTCTGGTGAGGGCGAGGCCGCAACGGAAACTGCGGCGGAGGAGGGTGCAGAAGCCTCTACTGACGCCACGGAGGGTGCAGCGGCTGGAGGTTCAGAAGGTGCAAAGGACGCAGCAGAGGGCACGGCGGAGGGTGCATCGGCAGCTGCAGCCGAGGGTGGGGCGAGTGAAGCTGCTACTGAGGCCACCGCCGAGGGCTCGGTTGCAGCAAGCGCGGAGGGTGCGACAGCTGGCGCCGCTGCAACCCCTGCAGCGGCTGCTGTAGCCGGTGCCGTCGTGGAGGGCAGTGTCGCTGGCACAACCGGCGCAGCCACCACTGCAGCAGCAACCACAGTAGCAGCCGTAGCGGCTGCAGCAACAACAGCAGTTCCCACTACGGTGGCTTTGGCAGCAGGTAAGGCGCAGCACCACAAGGTCAAAGCTGTCGCTCCTGCCGCAAAGGGAACGGGTGCTGCAAAGGGCACAAAGGCAGCGACCAGCAATGGTACTCCAGGAGCCGGCTTGCCGTGGAAGGGCATCATTCTGGTGCCTCGATTGGTTCTCAGTTGTGTAGAGATATTGATTGTAGTAACATTGTACTATCAATACCTTGTAGTACGTTTTAGTTAGTTATAGTAGGTTATAATATGTTATAGTATTTTACAGTCTACTATCGCCTATTATCGTATATGATCGTATATTAGCGTATAATATTATCGCATATATTTTCGCATGTTAGCGTATGTAATCGTATATGATCGTATATGACCGTATATTATAGTGTACTACGGTATCTTATACTGCATCATGGTCGATCATCGTCCACTCTGGTGTATTATAGTATATGATACTGAGAATTGAAATCGCACATCACGGCTCTAAACCCTAAACCCCAAACCCCCAAACCCCTAAACCCTAAACCCTAAACCCCTAAACCCTAAACCCTAAACCCACGACTCCGTAGCCAGGTGCTTTCCATCGTCGCTCTGGTCGTCTTCCTCGGACCTAAGCTCTATGAGGCGTGGGAACTTCCCCCCACAACCGGAATGGTTTGAGCTTATAGTTATGGTTGCAACTATAGTTACAGTTATAGTTATGATTGTAGTTATAGTTACAGTTATAGTTATGATTGTAGTTATAGTTGTAGTTATAGTTATAGTATAGTCTAGTACTTAGCCTCGAGGTTCAGTTTAGAGTTCCCGAAGCATCCTCTACAGTTCCGAAAGGATGTGTCCCATGATGTTGAAGGCAACTAGGATCAACCCCATACCTTCAAGCTTTGCGCCGGCATCTTGCAATAATTCTCTGTGTGACGAAATGTTTGAAAATGACACAAGACAGGTCGTAGCACCTTTGTCTCGCCAAGGAGGAGTAACTCTCCGAAAGCAGTCTGATGCTTTACTTGGAGCTCTCTTTCGACGCAATTTTCGGCAGAGCTTAGGCTTCAAGAACCTTGAAGCGATATCGGAGCTTCAGGAGAACAGCATTGTCCGCATAAGATGTTATGAGCGGCCTAGCTTTCGGAAACCCATACTTGTGTTGGGCTATGTGTGCTCGTGTTTACAGTAAATGTTTGGTTATTGCAAAGGGGCAAACATGTGAACATATGCACTGTTTAATTTATAACAAAGCACAGAACAGTAATCTTTGTTTGCTTAATTAAACCATGCGTACCTTGCGTTGAATGAAACAAAAAAGTTAGGCTCCCTTTCCCTTCTACCTAGTTTCCTTTGTCCCATTTCCTGTGCTCTACTTTAGCGAGTGAAAATCAGGAACATGTCTTAACTTTATGAAGTGAAGCCACAGGAAACCAGGGCAAACATCACGGAGAGTAAGGCCATGAAGTGAGTTTTTTGTTTATTTACATCTGCTGCAGATGGCAACAGCGAAGCCACCCCTTCCCGGCCGCCTCAACGAGATCAAGAGCGAGCCATCGGATCAGCAGGCCAGGTGTTCGCGACTTCAGCACCTCAGGTGCTAGGAGATGTTGGATATTGTTGGATGTATCAAGCCGAAGCTGAGCAATCGATGAATGTCCCATCGGTAGTAGTAGCAGTAGTAAGTGTCACGGTCGTCACAAGCTTCCACACAGCTGCTACGTGAGAGTGGCAGGATTGCCTCATGTTGCAAGGTCTGGGCTTCCTCGAAAGCTCGCCAAACCTACAGGAGCGGCCTTTCGAGCTGCTGTCAAGTCGGTCGTGTGCGGAAGAGCGAAGGGACATTTCTGACTGCGTGATGATCGGTCGCGCTTTGCAGGAAATCCGTGCTTGCTGCCCAGTCCAACAAGAGCAGCAGTGACAGTGAGGCCATGAGTTTTTGTGCACGGCCTAAAGCTCACAAACATAGATTTGTGAAATCGCTTGTGAAACGTCTTATTTCCCAGTCTTCTTCTTGATTGCAGAAACGGACCACCTTCGACATGTTGTCACTGTTCTTCTTCACCGTCAGGGATGGTTCTGTTGACTTTGTTTCGCTCAAGCTTAGCTGGCACAGGATGCTGCTGCAAAGCCAGCTCCGCGACGGCCTCGGGCAACCACTGCAGTTGGACCAAGGGTTTGGGGCAGCTGCGCAACTAGATATCAACAGACCGGATAAGAAGCGTGGAAGCCAATCCCAGCAGACTTGGCTGTTCTGCTCGCTTCGACAGGGACTTGAGACCTGAAGCCTCGACTTTAAATGAAGTCCCGCAGCCTCGGCCTGTGACCCCTAAACTCTCGTGAAGACATCCTTGCTGTTGGGGCCTTAATAATTGCCTCTACTATTTTGGGGGTTCCTTCTTATAATTAAAGTATAACATACCCCAAAACCCTATTCCAATTATAAAGGCCCCTAATCTAATATAGAGCCCTATTCTAGATCCATTTCAAGGAACCCAATTCTGATTCTTAAGGTCCCTACATTAGGATCCTTAAGCCCTATACCCTAAGCTCTAAACCCTAAACCCTACACCCTAAACCCTACAGCCTAAGCCCTAAACCCTAGACCTTAAACCCTAAACCCTAAACCCTAAAACCCTAAACTCTAAACCCTAGACCCTAGACTCTAAACGCTAAACCCTAAACCCTTTGCTCTTTTCAGGCGTGGGAGCGCTGGAAGCGGTGGCAGCCGAGCGGAGGTCGCCAAGGGTTCCGCGGCCGCGTCACCGAAGGAGGCCAAGGAGGCCAAGGAGGGCGGCAAGGAGGCCAAGGCCGGGGGGGAAGGGTCGGTTTGGGTTTGGGGTTTGGGGTTTAGGGTTTAGGGTTTAGGGCTTAGGGCTTAGGGTTTAGGGTTTAGGGTTTAGGGTTGGTTCCAAAAAAAGGGGTTAGTTCTAGGCCCGACAGGTGCAGAATGGGGTTGAGCCTCGGAGAAAAACGAGGATTTCGGGCCACGGCCGGTTGCTGGTCAGGGGCCTGAGGTTTGGGTCGAAGATGGTTGAAGACAGGTCGATCGCGGCTGGTTGGCTTCTTTGGCGACTCATGTGCGCATGTTTTGGGAGGATGGAATTTTGCGGCTGGAGAGGGTGGGGCATGGGAAGCCATTAGCATGCTGGAATTGTCCAACCGAACCTGCTGCACAACGGCCAGATGTCTGGCCCTTCCATGTACGTGAGGGTGCAGCAAGTAGTTGTCATATGATATGAAAATTAGGGCACACGTGATCTGAAGTTGTTCACACTAGCAACGGGGAGTGACGGGACAATGATGATAATGATGATGATGATGATGGTGGTGGTGGTGGTGGTGGTAGTGGTGGGGGCGGCGGTTGGCTGGTGGTGTAGTGGTGGAAAAGACACACGATGATGGAGATAGTATTGAGAATGAGGACGCTGGTGATGACAAGGAGGATGGTGATGATGGTGGTTGCCACCGGGTTGTCCTGGCTAGCCGCCCAATTCAACTGCTGCTGCGGCTCGTAGCACTCACTGTGCTTGATGAACTCCAGGACGCCGGTGGCACCGCATCCCGGGAAGAGGCGACCTGAAGTGAAAGAAGGGATCACATCCACGTGTCAGGGATAGGATCGCTGGTATGCTGTAAGAACTTCGCTGCCAGTATCAGTCTTGAGGCTTGAGGCCGAGCCTCACCGATGGCAAGGCCATGCTTGAGACCCAAACCCCAGACTTCACTAAACTACGCCTCTAGGCCTCTATGCTCCGAAACCGGAACTCTCAGCAGACCTTCTGCTGCACGACGCCCTGAACCCTAAACGCTGAGTTCAGCCTTGCACCCAGTGGATCGAGATTCGGCCCGCAAGGGCTTCCGTCGACGGAAAAAGAATCGGGGACATGCAGAAGCCTTCAGGGCCTACAGCATCCCAGGAGAACATTATGCTCCAGGAGCATAGTAGACAATAATATACTTCAATACACTATAATCCTACTATAGCTTACTAATATTTTACTATAAGATACTATAATAGACTATAATACACAATAGTAGACTATAATAGACAATAGTAGACTATAATACACTATCATCTGCTTTGAAGCTGAGAAGGCCCCGAGAGCTTCCACCAGCAGCCGCCAGCGCTCTCCATCGGCTTCCTCGGGCTCGTCCCTCTTTGCCAAGTGGGAGTTTCCGAAAATAAGGGTTTAGGGTTTAGGGTTTAGGGTTGGGGTTGTTATAATAAGGATACTTCTATTTAGGGTACCATCTTAGGGTCCCCTATTTTCGGAAACCCCCAAGTATGGCTCAGGGCACGGCCTCTTTGGGTTTAGGGTTTACCTTTCTTCAGAAGGTCTTGGGCTTTCGGTGTGTATTTCCCTGCTTCTGCATGGGTTTTGTACGAGTTTGTACTTGTCTACAGTATACGATGATGCCCTTTAGTCACGCGAGAGTTCAGCAGGAGTTAGCGCACGAAAGTCAAAAAGGTTAAGCACAGTCACTGACAGTTACTGGGACATTCATGCAGGTTCTTGAGTTACCATTGTGTCCTAGGATACTTGTTTCTTTATTCAGGGTTTTGGGCGGTTTCAGGCGGTTAATTCAGGGCTTGGAGCTAGCACTCAGGGCTTTGGGGTTGCAAGGCTGTTAATTGGGTCTCTCTCGAGTCTTTGGACGTTCTGAGGGGCAGAATCCGGGTCCTTGTTGGCTACAATTTTACATTTTCGTTTTAACAAAACCCACTAAGGATTAAACATGTTCATCTTTGATATAGGCCCAACTCGGAACCAGGAATAGGCCGGCACTCACATCCGACCCTATTTTGGGACCTCGTCTGCAAAGACTGTCTAGCAGCCACTTGATTGTGGAACCAGCCGAGGTATCGTGCAAGGCGAACAGCTGCCAACAAATCCTCCGGGAACTGAGTGGTGCGGTCGTCTCAGTTTGTGACATTGGCCAATAATTACTCGGGTTCAATACGCTCAACATACAGTTGCTTAAATTTACAGAACAAGCTCCTTCCTGCTGAGACTCTTGCATCTCCGATTTGGTTCGGATATCTCCATGAAGCGTTCGCGACCTGCTCGTGCGAAAGGGGCAAAAATGCAAAAGGCAGTTGTGCTGTCCGGTGCACGACAAGACGCTCAACGGTTCTGAAGGCACACATCCCAATCTGCCCATGCCGGTGAACCTCAAAGAACTCCATCGGCTGTCATGTGACGATTTGTCCCGGTCTCTGGTCAGGGCCGGGACTTCGATGCAGAAACACGGAGGATTCTCCATATCGATGCCTGATGGAGGTCGGGCAGAGCTCGAGCCCTAAGCCCTAAACCCGGTGGCGTCGTCTCGAAGCTGCGCAGGTCGAGCAGAGACACCTTGCTGCAGCGAGGACAGCAGACCGAAAGCTGGGCGAAGTGTGAGCTTCAGGGCTTGACGAAATAATAACAATGCGTATAATGATGATCCTGCTTCATAACAAAGAGGTTTCTGGAGTTGAAGCATGTGCCCGGAAGGAAGGATCCAGCAACCGGGCTGCCGGTTGCCTCCTGAGGTTTCACGAGTTGCCTTAAGCTTGGAGCCTGAATTTTGGAAACATGGAACGCAAGGGCAGTGCTCAGTGCTAAATGGCTCGGCGAGATATAGGGCTTCTAGGGAGCAGATCGCCGCTGTAGCCCCTTGAGTTAAGCATGTGGGGCTTCCTGATGCCAATGCCAGCTCAGATTTGCGGCACCTGTGCCCGTTTGGGGCACCCGCTCTGCGGCCTCAGGCCACACTGCTTAGCTCTGCAGCTTGCATCTCCGTTTCAGAGCTATCCGAGTGGTGTAATGACACCCCCCGGCTCTAGGCATACCACTTGTCGTTTTACAACTCTGAATACACCTGTCGTCCGGCACGACGATGCGCAAACGCACGCAGTCAGACCCTTTGTGGTATTCCGCTTGCACGGGATAGATCATCGTATCTGGGGTTTGTGCACCTCGAAGCGAGAAAGCGCGCAGCTTCTGGTATCCGGCGAGGTACTGGATCACGTTGCGAGCAGCCTGGCTCAGGCCGGCAGACGGAGTCCGGCAAAGAAAACACAGCCTGAGACTCGCTGAGGTTGCCTGAGGAGCTCGTGGCGGAAGAGCCTCACAGTTTCGAGGCCCATCGCATCCGTTGAGCTAGGCGCACGTTGCAGATGACCAATGTGCCGAAGGATCCTGGCTCTGTGCAGATCGCCAGGCAAGCACAGATAGGCCGGCCGGGCATAGCCACTCTTCGATCCTGGCGTCATCGGATTTGCATGAGGCTTCGTGCGGGAGATCAGTGAGGGCGAAGCAGAAGATCTTGAGGTCCGTTTTTGGAATGCGAAAGTCAGATTCTGACACGAAGACTCAGGCGCATAGGCGTGGCCAAAGTGTTGCAGCCTACACCTGCAGAGTCCCAAATGACGCACATGCATCAACCAGAAAGAACAAAATCCACTGCCTGTTCGGCACGACTGAGACGAGATTACCGTTCCATGCAGGACTGCCTGGATGCCATTCAAAGGCCGTTCCCGCTGCTGCGGAGGCCTATTCCTTTATCGCAGGCCGGTACTTGCAGAAAGAGGAGCTTTCTTGCTGCGGGTGGGGGGAGAGCAATTAAGATAAGCATGTGGCTGCAACATGCCTTGTCCTATCCCTGAACGGCTGCAGCACTGCACGCCATCGTTTATTTGCAGTTGCAGGGTGAGTAGACGGAAGGAAACAGAAGTCGCTGACGCACGAGCGGTCAATGTCTGCAACAATGCAGTAGCAACAGGTCCAGAAGAAGGGAGGGCAGAAGAAGAAGCAGCAGCTTAACAATAACACATAGTACTTCTAAATTCAGAAGAAGACAAACAATAAAAATGATCAGTTATGACAGTAACAGAAGTAGTTTAGTCATCGCCGTCACATTTTCAGTGGCTGTCATAACAGTAATACGGCCATGGATGTAGTGGCACTAGCAACAACACTAACAATGTTAGTCATGTCAAATGCACCAATTGTCATCATAGTACTAACAGCAAGCATGCTGATCGTAGCAACACAAATAGCAACACTAATCGCAATGATAGAAAATTTCAGTAGTAAATCAGCAGTAATTAACAGCAATGATAGTAATGAGGATCATGACAGTAGTGGCGAGAATGGTAATGCTGAGAATATTGATACTTATGATAATAGTGGTAACGATGGCACAAGGAGCAAAGAAAGTCATGATCACATACACAGGAAATCATGTCAACAAGATAATACAGATAAATCATCATCAAGCCGTCATAATAGTAGTGGCAATACTAAAAACACTGATAGCAATGCCACTATTGATAATCATGATAGGAGTGGAAATAGTGATAAGAATCATAGTATTGACGGTCATGACATTAGTCATAATATGGCGGTACGGATAATGCTGATAATACTGGGGTTACGATACTGCTGATAGTACTGAGAATGCTGATCTGGTAGTGGCCATGGTGTTCATAATCATGACAATCATAGCAATGATAATCATGGTAATGCTGACAATAAGCGAACAGTGGTGATGGTGGTGGCAACAGTGATATTAGTGGCAACGATAGCAAGAAAGAGTGCTAGGAATAGCAAGTATAGCGTGAATAGCAAGATGAGAAAGCCTAGTCATAATAGCACTAGTACTGGTGATAGCGACTGATGATGACAGTATCAGTTCTCTATACGGATTTCTTGCTCCTCCTCTCCCTCTGACTCCCACTACTACTACTACTACTACTACTACTACTCCTACTTCTCCTACCTGCTACTCCTACTACACCTACTACTGCCGCTATCACCGCCACTGCCTCTTGCTACTGCCTCTGCAACTTCCACTGCTACTGCTGCTACTAATACGACTGCTCCTCCTACTGCTACTGCTGCTGCTGCTACTCCTACTACGACGACGACTACTACTACTGCTACTTCTACTGCTACTGCTGCTGCTATGCTACGCCTACTGCTCCCGCTACTGCTACTACTGCTACTGCTACGACGATGACGACGGCGACGAGGACGACGACTAAGACTACAACAACTGCTACTGCCACTGCATTTGCCACTACTACTACTACTACTACTACTACTACTACTGCTACTGCTACTGCTACTACTAGGAGCAGCCGTAGTAGTAGTAGTAGTAGTAGTAGTAGTAGTAGTACCACTACTACTGCTGTACTACTACTACTACTACTACTACTGCTGCTACTACTACTACTACTACTACTAGTACCCGTACTAGTACTCGCACTAGTCCGAGTATTAGTATTAGCATTAGTAGTAGTGGTAGTAGTGGTAGCAGCAGCAGCAGCAGCAGCAGCAGCAGCAGCAGCAGCAGCAGCAGTGCCGTCACCACCACCAGCCGTCACCACCACCATGCAGTTGTCGTTGACGCTGTCGATGAGGCCTTGATCCGTAAAGCCCCACGACCCCAAGCCCCGAGACTCTGAACCCTAAACCCTAAAACCGAAACCCTAAACCCTCGACTCCTAAACCCCAAACCATCCCAAACCCTAAACCCTAAACCCCAACACCGAAACACTAAACCCTAACCCCTAAACCCTAAGCCCTAAATCCTAAATCCCAGAACCGAAACCCTAAACCCTAAACCCTAAACCCGAAAACCGAAACCCTGAACCCCCAAACCCTAAACCCCAAACCCTAAAACCACGAACCACCAAAGCGCCCCTGAAGCGGAATCCGGAGAACCAGGCCGCAGAAAGGCAGCGGATGATGTGCCTGTAGCCGTCAGCGCTGCGAAGAAGCGGAAGACAGCCTCTGTGTCATGGGAGCATTTTAGGGTTTAGGGTTTAGGGTTTAGGGCTTCGGGTTTAGGGTTTAGGATTTGGGGTTTAGGGTTTAGGTTTTAATTGGGGTTTCGGGTTTAGGGTTTAGGGTTTTCGTGGTTATTTCTTGGATTTTACAACGCTTGTAGAGGGATGTGTAAGGTTTTCGTGAATGTTGCATGGCTTTCATAAGTTTTCCTTGATGGGTCTGACGGATTGTTGGTTGCAGGGTGCGTCATGCCCCCTTTTCTTCAACACCTCCTTAATAATAAAAAGACATCGGGGCGATTCCTCCTTCTGAATTAGGGGGAGGGTTTCGAGGCTCACGAGCAAGAGCAAAAGCCGGAGCAGGAGTTAGAGAAGAACAAGAGCGGGAGCAAGAGCAAAAGCAGGAGCATCAGCAGGAGCAGCAGCAAGAGCAAATCAAAAGCAAGAGCGGAAGTAAGAGCAGGAGTAGGAGCAACAGCACGCATCAGAAGCAGGAGCAAAAGCCAGCGCGGGAGCAAGAGCCAGAGCAGGAGCAAGAGCACGACCCCTCAACAGTGGTGGTAGAGATGCAAAGACACCCTAACAATAAACATGCTTTCCGAGTTTTTATGGGGGAGAGGGGGGCTGCGTTTAATATTTGGGGGAAAAGATTACATGGCTTCACAGAGTTGTGTAAGGTTTCAGACGGATTTGGGGCTCTGTAGCCACTGTAGGCATCTGTACAGAATTTCATAGGGGCTATTGGGCTTGACATGGGTTTGCTATTGTTTTGTTTTTGAGGGTGGGGGGATTGATCCGCTAGTTGAGGTTTGTTTTTAATATTGGGTTCTCCTCTTCTTCTGAAGCGCCCATGAGAGGAAGTATGATCCTAGTGTCTGACCTGAGGCAGAACCTGAAGCAGAAACCCTAATGTAGGGGCCTTAATACTTAGAAAGGGTTTTGGGGTATATTATACTATAATTATAATAAGGAACCCCCAAAACCCCATTGTAATTATTAAGGGCCCTACATTACACCGTCTGTCATCCGAGGTATGCATCGCGCAGGATGCAGACGACTGAAGCGCGCTTGTGACCCGAGCGAAAAGCAGCTGCGGGCGGTGGGCAGAGACAAACCCTAAGTCCTAAACGTTAAACCCCGAACCTTAAACAATACCTTAAACCCTAATTAAGAGGCAAGACCCCAAACCCTGAACCCTGAAACCCTAAACCTTAGACCGGGTTCCTGCATCATCCCCTACATCCTATCGCCTCCCCAAACCCTAAACCCTGACCCCAGAAGCCGAACAGGGTGTAGGAGTTGAGGGTTCAGGGTTCAGGGTTTATAAGGTTTAGTTCAGGGTCTAGGGATTCCCTAAACGAGGCGGCACTGTGGACAACGGTTCAATTTTCCTTATGGTTCCTGTAGAAGTACCTATTCAAAATACCTCAGGGGCCCCGAAACTGCAACCCGGCACAGCCGGAAGCACCAGATCCATAAAACTGAGGCCCTGAACCCTCAAGACAAGCAGAAAGCCCAATATCCCGATATTTGAGGAACGTACCTCGGCTTGTGGGGGTCTTCATTTTCTGCTGTCAGGTCTATTGCTTGCTTTAAGGAGTCTTGGGCTCTGAACCTTTCCATGACCCTAGGGTTTAGGGTTTAGGGTTTAGGCCCTAGACCCTAAACCCAACACTCCCCTCGTAGAACCCTTCAAGGAACCTTAAGCCAACCCTATTCCCTGAACCTGGGAACCCAGAGGACCCAATACCCCTTAATTTTTTGGAGCATACCTCAAATCGTAGGGGCCAGAATATTATGATTTCAAGTATACTATTCCTTAATTAGGAAGTATTGGGTTCTCTGGGAACCTGCTTCTCCCCAGGCCTTCCGAGACGTTTCAGGAGCGCATTTCAACCCGGCGGTGACGCTCGCCGTGCGCTCCAGCGGCCGCTCCCCGGCAGAGGAGCACTGGGGAGTGGGGAGGAGGCTAAGGTTTAGGGTTTAGGGTTTAGGGTTTAGGGTTCTTTTGAGGGCTCCTTCAAACGATCGCTTTGAGGAGCCCTCAACCCTAAACCCCTAAACCCCCAAACCCTTAAGGGTGCTATGAGGGTACTATTAGGGGTCTACAGGGGTTTTGGGGTTCAGGGGTTCCGGTGGTCGGACCTGGGGTTTACTTTCTGGGGGTTTAGGGTTTAGGGTTTAGGGGTTTAGGGTTTGGGGTTTAGGGTTTAGGGCTCGGAAATTCTGGGCCCTTTGCATGGACCATCATGGACCTAAGACATGGCGGATGTAGAGCCGGCGGTTTGTTTAGGGTTTAGGCTTTCGGTTTTGAATTGTTAGGTTGAGTAGGTTTAAGGCTTCTAATCTAGGGGCCTTAGTGAAGGAAGCATGGCTCGTAGAACCTTCGTGAGCGGGAACCCACTGAAAAAGTCTTGGTAACTTTTCAGGTTCCCCAAAAACCCAATACGCCTAGACGCCTAGACGCCTAAACGCCCTAAACCCTAAATCCTGAACCCTAAACCCTAAACCCCAAACCTTGAATCCGAAGCCTTAGACCTAAGTCCCAAATGCCAAACACTAAGCCCGAAACCCTGAGCCCTAAACCCTACATCCCTGATTTATACAATATGACATCACAAGATGGTAAGATGGGCTCAACTTCGCAGGACCTGGTCTCCTCACGGCCCGGAGCCGACGTCGGGGATTTGCGCGGCTTATATGCAAAGATGATAGCACCAAGATCGTATGGGGGTTTAGGGCTTCGGGGTTAGGGTTTAGGGTTTAGGGTTTAGGGGTAAGGGCTTGGGGCTTGGGGTCTAGGGTATGGGGTCGGAATGCTTACCAATAAATTATTATTTCGGTGCCTTAGTATAAACTGCAGTATACTATAACCCGAAAGCTTATTTCAAAGAATAGGACCCCTTTCGAAGGTATGGGGGCTTCTCTGACATAGGGTATAATAGGCATTCTCTTTGGGTCCCCTTGTCTTCTGAAGCTGGATGTGCAGCTGGCATCTAAATCTAAACCCGAAGCAAGTAGAGCCCTGAGCCCGGAACCAATCACCGAACCGCAAATACCCGAACTCCCAAACCCTAAATCTGCACGTCGTAAGCCCAAACCCCTATATTTGTCCCCTGATGCTCAGGCTTCGGCGTGTTCTACACCATAGCCCAGGCATGGGGGACGGTGTTGCATACATGGGATTTTTCTAGGGTCGGTATAATTTTTTTACATGGGACTACAAGGGGATCTTACCAGCTCACCAGTTATGCAGATCCGTTTCTTATGGTTTTGATGGACTTTTGAAGTTCCTTGTTGCTGAAGTTTCCTTCGGTCTCCTATGTCTGAGGTCTCTTCTTTTTTCTACGTTTCGTTCCGTGTGGTCTTGAATTTGAATCATGCTACGCAAATCATCGGCAAACCCTAAAGCCCACACTCCTAAACTCACTTTTTTTTTAAGCCTAAACCCTAAACCCACACCCTCCCTCGTAAGCCATGTTTCAAGTCAGGTGCTGGCAGGGATGCTTGCCGCCGCCGTTGCGGGAATGGTGTCTTGGGCTCCCATTCTCTTTGACTCTGACATAGGGGCCTTAATAATTACTTATACTATTTTGGGGGGCCCCTTATCATAATTATAGTATAATGGGCACCAAAGCCTACACCAATTATTAAGTCCCCTATGTTATGTTGTTGGGGTTCAGGGTTTGACGCTCAGGGTTTGAGGTGTTTATTTTGGATTTTGGTGCTTAGGTTTGAGCCTCTGCCAAGGGAATCTTTGCAATAGGCGACGTGAAGAAGCGTGAGCAGTAGCCATAACAGCAATCGTAATGGTGACAGTACTAGTCTAAGTTGCAGGAATAGGAACGTGGGTGGAAATAGCGCAATAGTCATAGCAATAGTCATAAGAATCATAGGTATCGTGAGAATAGTCATAACCAAAATCGCTGTCGGAGTGGTCCGTGGCCGTTTCACTTGATCGCATCACTGTTATGTTATGTTAAGTATTTCAACAAGACGAAATCGCGATACTTGCATTCCGCCCTAACCACTAGCCCCCAGAGCTCTAAGCTAAAAACTCCAAACCCCTCAACCCTAAACCCCCATACCCCAAACACGTAAATCTCAACATTCTGAAGCCACCCCTCAATCTTCTGATGCTTATGCAAGCGAAAGAAGTATTCAAACACATTCTCAAGCACCCCATACTTTGAGTCCTACCCTAAACCCTCAAGAAAGAAATAAGTAGACATTGCATGTCTTCGTTGACCTTGGATCTCGCTAAACCACCCAAAGATCCCACGTCCCGGCCGGATGCCCACTCTGCCAGTTCCCAGCCCACAGCACCCCAGACCCCGACCCCAAATTCAAAGTCAGGGTCCAGTCGCAAAGCGTTTCGCGTAAAACGTTTCGGTCAAAGCGTTTTTTGGGCACCCAAATCTTTGATCAATTTCTATAACCCCTAAACCCTAAACCTAAACCTAAACCCTAAACCCCAAGTCCTAGGTGCATACAGGTGGGCAGTGGGCCAAGCCCATTGCACAGGTGGTCAGCCCCAGATTCGGCGTTTGTGCCTCGGGGTTTTGGGATTGAGGATTTAGAGAAGTTTGTGGGTTTGGGTTTAGGGTTAAGGGTTCTGGGATTCAGGATTTAGCATTTTGGTTTTAGGTTTAGGGTTTAGGGTTCTGGGATGTAGGATGTAGAATTTAGGGGATTCTGGGAGTTGTGGGAACAGGGGGGGGGGCCTTCGCGAAAACATATCTGTTTTATGATTATAGTTTTTTTGGGCTTCGCGAGATGTTTTGAGATGAGCCTGTTATTGACATCGCAGTCACCGTAGCGATGGTTATGGTGGACAGGTTTTCGTTGCTTTTGGTAGACAAAGGTGCAGCAGTGCCCCTCCTCGTCATCGTCGTCGTCGTCGTCGTNNAGTAGGAGTAGGAGTAGCAGGAGTAGTAGTAGTAGTAGTAGTAGTAGTAGTAGTAGTAGCAGCAGCAGCAGCAGGAGGAGTAGTAGTACTGGTAGTGGTAGTAGTAGTAGTAGTAGTAGTAGTAGTAGTAGTAGTCGTACTGGTAGTGGTAGTGGTAGTGGTAGTAGTCAGTAGTCAGTAGTCAGTAGTCATGGTGGTGGTGGTGGTGCGAAGTAGCAATGAGTAGAGTAGGAGATGAGCAGAGTCTGAGAGTGGTAGAGTAGCAGAGTGACAGAGTAGTAGAGTAATAGCATGGTAGCAGGGGGAGTGGTGTGATGATGAGCACTATTCATTCTGTGATTTATCTTTGGATGGTGTTGAAGATTTAAATTAGTCTGCACGTTTTTTGTTCTGAATCGCTTCTACATGACCTGTAACAGCGTTGCCAGATGATTGCATCTGCTGCCGTTCTTTGTGAGCATTTGCAATTTTACCGTTACTGATAGTGCCCTCGTTATCAGCATTCTGACTGTAAGTCACAGTTCATGTTGTCTTTGTGTTTGCATTTGCTGCCGCAGCTAGCAGCTGTAGTGGGGATGATGCGTGATGTCAGTCATGGTGACGTACAGCACCTCGTGTTGCAACACTGTCATGGCTGTCGCCAAGGATTCTACCGTCGGTGCAAAGCTGAGAATTACCGAAGGGTGGACAGATATCTAAACGAAAGTGTTGCTGAGTGGCGAAGTTTCCGAGGACAAGTCATGATCGCAGAAGGCTTCGGCACTTTCTTCCTTTGCTATGTGGCCCGGCCAACGGGGTCTATTAAAGATCGTTTGTATGCTTCCCCAGTTTCTCGTGGTTTGATGTGATTCGCAAAATGTGGTCAGAGGATGCCGACTGCGTCGCAGGGTTGTGCTCTCTTGGCATGCGATTGACAGCGTCATCTCTCCACGACCAGGTCGTGCTCGGTAGCAGCGTGACCTTCCCGGTGGACGGTGCGAGGTCCTTTCAAAGCAGTCAGCAGGATAGTATGGTTTCGAGCCTTCCCTCTTTCCGGATCAAGTTTTGTAGAGTCAGAAGAGCAGGTCCAAGCAGAACAACCTCTCTGGGCTTGCGTGACCCGGCGTGCAGTAAGTGCCACGTGTCCTTCTGAGAATCTGGATCTGCTCTAAAGCAAGCCCGCAGAAGCCTGAGTCAACTAGGTAGTAGTATTAAGGGATATTCCTTCGATCATAGTAGGATCCTTAATATGATTTAAGGTATATTCCTGAATTAAGGGAGGTAGTATTATTAGGGGTGCCCCTTCAAGGGTACCCCTTCTGAACCCTACTTTTGGCTCTCTTAAAAGGGACCTTATTGAGAGGGTCTATATCCCCAAGGGTCCCCCTAATCCTAGCTCCAATGAGCCAACCCAGGTATGGTTCGGTTGAGCTTGCAGCCACGCTGTCGGCGAGTCGCTTACAATGGTTCCCAATCGCACGTTTTTGTCTCTTCCTGCCTGTCATGACGAGACCCTCACGTCTAAGGTGGGGAACATCTCTGGTGCGTTGATGAATCCCGCCTGCGCAGTGGCTTGCCCTAAACCCTAAGCCCTAAGCTCGAAACCCTAAACCCTAAACCCTAAACCCCAAACCCGAAACCCTAAAACCCTAAATCCTAAACCCTCAACCCTAAACCCTAAAACCCGAAGCCCTCAACCCTAAACCCTAAACCCCTAAGATTCGGAAGCTGCGACCTTTGAGCTCTTGGCAAGAGGACCTTTGAGCCTCCGAGGTGGCGGCCGCGATGGTGGGGGCGATCTCATCCAAGACGTCCATCGTGGTGTATTGCTTCTACCACGTTGCCCCCTCAAAGGGTTTAGGGTTTCGGGTTTAGGGTTTAGGGTTTGGTTTAGGGTTTAGGGTTTAGGGTTTTAGGTTCTGCCAGAATTGAGACAAACCTGGCACCGAGCATCTTTGCACCCAGGCAGGTGCAGGCGTGTTGGCGGCTGCCTCCTTCCTGCCCTTTGGCTGCATGATTGTTCCAAAACCCATAACCGTAAACATGACCTAAACCCTAAACCCTAAACCCTAAACCCTAAACCCTAAACCGGTGGTGTTGCCTTCATATACTGTGCTCGAGAGCAGCTGCACCTAAGACTGCGACAGTAGTCGTGGTTGCTACGAGGGCTGCTTTAAGGGTTACTACTATGGGTTCTATAAGGGTTACCATAAGGGGGTATTATAGGGGGGTATTATAGGGTTCCCCTTCAAGGGGTACTACAGAGTGCCCTTTATGGGTACTGTAACCGGTTCAGGTTTGTTCAAGTCAACGTCAACTTCTTCAAGCAGAAGCCAAAAGTTTCTGGTCTACTTAGTGCCTCAAAACAGTTATTGCCTACTGTCCGATATCTTTTGCTGATGGTCATCATCATCATCATCAGCATCATCATCATCATCGTCATCATCGTCATCATCACCATCGTCATCATCATCATCATCCTCATCATCATCATCATCATCATCATCATCTGCATCATCATCATCATCATCATCATCAGAAACATCACCATCAGCCTCAGCCTCAGCATCAGCCTCAGCCTCAGCATCAGCATCATCATCATCATCATCATTATCATCATCATCGACAGCATCATCACCAGCAGCACCACCTGGTACAACATCAGCATCGACAGCACGGAATCAGCATTCATAGTGCCGTCGTAATCAGCCATGCAACATCAGCATCATCAACCCTAAACACCAAACCCACAAGCACGACTTTGGCTGCAGGGCTTTCGGGGTGTTCAGGTCAGCTTTCCGGCTTCGGTTATGAAGGCTTCCTTTCACAGGTTTTTTTGAAGGGTTCCTACAAGTGTTTCCTGTATGCCACGTGTGTTCCTATGAGGGTATCTAGGACAGGTTCTATAATGGGTCGGTTCGGGGGTAGTTCTCTAAATTAGGGTCCCTTTCTCTAGGTTCCCCAAATAGTACGGCACCCTTATTAAAATGGACTCCCAAAGGGTCCCTTTTTAGGTCCCCAAAATAGCACGGCACCCTTACAAAAAGGACTCCCAAAAGGACTCTAATTTAGAGAACTGCCCCTGTAGAGCTTCTGCTAGAATTCCTTGGAGGAAGTTGGGCGTCGTTGAAATGAACCCAGAAAGCTCCCGAGCAGAATGAGTTTAGGGTTTAGGGTTTAGGGTTTAGAGTTTAGTGTTTGAGATTTAGAGTTGAGAGTTCAAGGTTTAGGGTTTAGGGTTCGCAGAGGGCATACCAAGCCCCAAAACTTCTTAGACTAATCTGTAAATCATCTTATTTAATCCCTTAGACCCGCGAGGCCTAAACCCTAAACCCTAAACCCTAAACCCCCAAACCTCCAAAACTCCAAAGTCTAAGCCCTAAACCCCCGAAGCTCAAAAAAAGTACCTGTCCAGGCTGACACATGCGCAGCTCTACGTCAAGGCCCGGCCTCGTAGGAGTCAAGGCCTTTTGGGACCTTTGATTGCGCTTAGGATCCGGGTTTAGGGCTCGGGGTTTAGGGCTCAAGGGTTAGAGGGGGTGTAGGGTTTCTTTCTGGCTCTAGTGCTTTGGGGTAGGATCCCTTTCGGGATCGTTTCGGTTTTGGATAAGGCACCTTTTAGGATTTGTGAGGGATTTCGAGCAGTGCAGGGCCTGTTGGCAGCATGCGACGTGCGCAGGTCCATGCAAGAGCCAAAATGCAAGGTCCGGTTTGGTGGCAGTAATGTAGGGGCCTTAACAGTTACCTATACTTTTTCGGGGACTCCTTATTATAATTATAGTGCAGCGGGCCCCAAAACCCTGTCCTAACTATGAAGGCCCCTACATTAGGGCTCCAAACAGAGCCTCCTGAATCACTGAGACTCTCCGTTCCATGACTCTGCATGCATGGCCACCTGGTTTGAGCCATTCATGGGTTTAGGTTTAAGGCTTAGGGTTTAGGGCTTAGGTTTAAGGGTGTAGGGTTCTTCTCAGTCTCAAGCAGCACAGTCTAAGTTACCATAGTAGGGATCTATAGTAAATAGCATGGCTTCCTTATTTATGATAGCTCAAGCTACTCGGGAGTTTCCGAAAATAGGGGGTACCTTATTTTGGGGTCCTTATAATAAGGATCCTATTATTTAGGGTACTATATTAGGGTCCCCTATTTTCGGATACCCCCACAAGAGCCCAGATCCCTGGTCAGGATGCTCGGGATGCAGATGAGCTGAATCGGCAGATCTGATCTGCAACGCCCTAAACCCGAAACCCTAAACCTTAAACCCTAAACCCTAAATCCTAAACCCTAAACCCTAAACCCTAAACCCTAAACCCTAAACCCTAAACCCTAAACCCGAAACCCGAAACTGTGCTGCGTGGGCATCGAAAAGACGTGTGGGCGTGTGGGAGTTTGCTGCTTGGTCAAGCGGCGACCGGCCGGTCTGGCGGTATTACACTAAACCCTAAACCCCAACTACTTGTAGGCGGGCGGAAAAAGACGTCCACCAAAAGAAACACCTAACACTAAACTAAAAACCTAGTCCCGACGAATCGAAAGGACTCGTCCGAGTCCTTGAGGGGTATCTGCCCAGATGCTGCTTCCTGGGTCTGCACTGTAGGGACCTCTGCGACGTCATGTAGACATGAAGAGATGGTCCCCGGAAGCGCTGATTCCATAGGTTGGTCTTGCGTAGCAGAATCAAACCCGGAACCCTAAGCGCTTTGCCCTAAGCCCCAAACCTGAAGCTTGGTGTCCCGTTGTGAATGGTCGCTTTTCGGCCCTCAGAATTGCCGAGCATGGTAGGTAGGTAGGTCTCGATTGAAGCGGCGGGCGAAGCGAAACAAGCTGCCAAGCCGCCATGATAAAAGGGTCGCGAAATGCGACCATCGTCCCCCATGGCAAGCATCTGCAGATTGAGCCAACGGCCATCACATTTGATGACATAGAGGCGAACATGAAGTGGCCGCCCAAGCCGTACTGCTCTGACTATGCCCCCAGCTCGGCACGTTGCTTAACCTACCACTGAACCACCGAGGTACATCCAAACTCTGGTGGTGAGAAATCTCAGCACGTATGCCAAGCGCATCCGCTGTGAAGTTCCCAAGTCAGCCGAGTTCAGAGTAGTCACCGAGACGCTGGGTGCAAGTTTAGGGGTCAAGGGTTAAGGGTTTAGGGCTTAGCAGTGTAGAGTTTAGGGTTAGGCCTCCTGGTATGCTCTAAGGCAATGCGCTCTAGTAACAAGTGTGAGAGTACTATGCAGCAATATGCTACGGTAAGCTTCATGCCTGCGTGCATATATAAATGTAGGTAAGTCTGTCTATCCATCTGCTTGTCGTGCATGTATGTTTCTCAGTCAGAAGTTGAAAACACAGCATAGCCGCACAATGTGGGCTATGCAGACCGCCAGCTAGTACTGCTTTCATCCTGTAGCCTTCTGGTCCACTGATGCATGACAACATAGCTTTAGGGTTTAGGGTTTAGGGGTTCAGGGTTTAGCGTGCCTAGTTCCAGTATGCTAGGCCCTAAACAAGGCTGCAGTGCAGATTTCCGACCGTCAGCACACTTCATGGTTTCTCAACCAAAGGCCCTTACTTCAAAGGCCAAGCCCTAGAGTGTTTTGGTTGGAACTCTGTTTGGGGGCTTGTCCCCACATCCGATATCCCACTCTCTGGCTGTATCTGAGCTAGGGTTTGCCACCTTGGTGAGTGATTGTCATCTGTTTTGGGCATATTGGTGGTAATGTAGGGGCCTTATACTAAGAATAGGATTTGGGGCCCAATATACTATAGTTATAATAAGGGGAACCCCCCAAAATAATGTTTGTAATTATTTAGGCCCCTATTTTTAGCACGTTCCGGTTGCGTCTTTGGGGAGGCCAGCGGAAGCCCCGCGTCACCTCGCTGCCAAGGAACGAGATCGGCATCGCGCCTGGTCTCTCGGTGTCCATAGACGTGGAGTTCCTGACAAGGAAGCCTTATGACTACGTTGACAAACTCGTCATCACTGCCGAGGCCGCGAATCAGCACTGCATTGCTACATCTGACCAGAATTTTCTGTCAGTGTGGTGACTTCGGAGAGTGGTGCGTCCTTTGCAACAGACCATGTGATCATGAGTACAGCGCTGGTTGTTCAGAGAAGTCTTGAAATTTCAGTCAACGTCGGCGGCTTTAGCAAACGTGATTCAGAGTCTGACGCGAAAGACCCCCTAAACCCTAAACCCTAAACCGAGTGTTTCCAGCCCATGAAGCTTCAGGACTTTCGCTACGAGGTGGAGCTATGTGCCAAAGCTCCCTGTGCCGCGATCACTTTTGACACGGTGGTCGATTTCGGCGCGATAGCCGGCGACCTACGTCCAAGCGTGTCGAATAGTCTTAGTGGCGAACGACTGCATTACTGGCTGTGACCGGTCGCAGGTCACAAGAAGAATTCATCAGCGAGAAGTTATCCTGCCACCGGGCTGACTTTGTGGGCTTCGGCTTGCTCCCTAAATCCCGAGCCTTCATCTAAACTCCTGCGTGGGGTTCAGGGTTCGGGGCGACTCCCCTCCGCGGCTTTGCATCCGAATTGCCGTACTCACAGGCGCAACGAAGGCTCGAGAGCAGCGACGTGCCCTGGAAGCAAGGATTGAACCAACTGCTCCGACTAATATGGGGGCCTCAGTAATCACCAATACTATTTTGGGGGTTCCTTGTTATGATTATAGCATGACCTGCCCCAAAAACCGATTCTAAGTGTTAAGACCCCTATATTACCCTGATTGCCATGCCAAAAAGTGCCAAGATGTCCGTCCGTCCGTCTGTCTGTCGGTCTGTCTGTCTGTCTGTCTGCCTGCATGTGAACATGTGTATATGCATGTGGGTTGTAGATTGTAGGTATGTACCTAAATATGTTATGCATGCATGCAGGCACACAGACTCATGACAGATAGACAGATAGACAGACATAGATATATAGACAGCAGACAGACAGACAGACAGAAACGGAATGCATACACGCATGGATATCGATATCCGTTGGATGGTGTCCGCCATGTGCTTTTCATGTTTGCATGTTCTGCTGGCTTCTGCCGCATATGTCTGCAGCTGTGTATCCGCGGCTTGGTTTAGGGATTTGGGTTCAACCCTTGAAAAACCCCTTTTAGGAACGCGTATTGGAACCTAAACCCTAAACCCTAAACCGAGCCGCCGAGGTTTGACTTCATCTCGCCTTCCAGAGCTTTGAAGCCAAACCCGCCGTCTGGGAAGATCGGCCCTGCGGGCAGCTCGGAAGACGTGAAACGGGTAAAGCTCGAGCTGACCCAAGAGCCGCCAGTCTGCGCTAGCAGAGACATTTAGGGTTTAGGGTTTAGGGTTTAGGGAGCTAGCAGAGACTGTATGCAGATTGTAGCTTTAGGGTTTGAGGGCTTAGGGTCTAGGGTTTGGTAAATATTATGAAGAGTAACGGTGATGATATTGATAGCAACAATACAGAGTAAGGTTCAGGTCAGTCTTGTTGCAGTAATCATGCTCCTATTTACACTTGTAGAAGGGGGGTACTAAGGAGCATAGAAGCAGCGAGGAGGGCTTGCTGTTGGCCCTAAACCCTGAACATAATGTAGGGGACTACGTAATTACCTATACCATTTTGGGGGTTCCTAAACAATTTTCAATTATACTACTAAGGAGCCCAAAACCCTATTCTATTTATTAAGGCCCCTACATTAGCCAGGGACCCTTTGTAGATTCCATCGAAGCTGAGTTCGGGCTTCACGGATTTGCACAGTCGTTGCGTCTGTCGCGGGGCCTGCAAGGGTACTGGTTCTCAGGGTTCTGCGTGGTTTCTGAGCACGATTTAGGATTGGGTTCTTGAGGTTTAATTATACGGAAATGAAGAATACATACAAACACACACAGACATGTGTATATATATATATATATATGTATATGTATGTATATATATATATATATATGTATACATACATACACTTACACACACCCACACTCGCATATATATATATATATGCATGTGCCCGTGTATATATATATATATATGTATATATATATATAGAAATTATATATATATATATACACATGTATGGAGATGGACTATATTGATGAGAACGCAGGAGGTATTCTTCACAGTTGCCTCTGTTCTTGGCCTCGTCCAAGGACGCCGGGTACAGTTCACGAGCTGGTTCAGCTCAATCTGCATGGGCTCAGCTCGCTGGTGCCCGCCAACAGGACTCTTGGCAAACAAGATTCATGATAACGGCAGGAGTCGTCACAGTAGGGAGAATCGTAATCACCGTGATCATGGCAGCCAGCCCCGCTGCATGAGCATGTGCGCTTCAGGGTAAAGGTAACACTACTTCCCAGTGTTCAGCCCTGAGAGGCTTTAGGGTTTAGGGTTCAACCCCCTAAACACCCAAAACCCTAAACCCTAAACCCTAAACTCAACCCTACAAGGGTGCGGGTTTCAAGTTCATTGGATAACCCCCAAAGACCCTCAACAAATCCAAAATACATTCCTCAAGCCCGACCGAGCTCTGGGCTCTTCATTTGGTCCGTTCTGAAGTTTTGGGGCTTCGGGTTTAGGGGTTTAGGGGTTTAGGGTCTAGGGTTTAGGGTTTAGGGGTTGGGGTGTAGGATTCTTTAGGGCATTCTGATGTTAGACGAAGCAGAGGACCGTGGATGTGCATGCCCAGTGCGTCGACCAGACGCTGCAGGTGTACAAAGATGGACAGGTCATAAGCAGCCCTGGCCGCAGTGGAGAAGTTTGTTGTAGAAACCTGGAGGATTAAAAAGTAATGCTACGCATATAGGCTCCTTATTGAATTATTGTAATCGTGCTTAAACCCTAAAACCCCTAAACCCC